AGCATAAATAAAAAGATGAAGTTCTCAGGTCATGCTTTGTCACGTGATGTTTAGTGCAGGAAGTTCATAGACGTGTGGCTTTTAGCTCGAGATGAGAAGACATATCTTTAAACCATAATAACTGTGTGCTTTTATCGCAATGGGAATAGATTATCTTGGGGTAAGGGCAGAGTAGCTCTTTTCTTTGATAGTTTTTATTGGAAAATAAACGTTCCCTCTGTGTTTGAATTTCACATTTTTCATCTTGTACAAATGCAGAGGGAACCACATCGAGATTGACGCTACATTGCTCTTTAAACTGAGAAGAAAAAATACGTAATTAACAGTCGATTAGATTTTGTTAGCCAATGAGTTTGGGGGACTTTTGATAATTGAGATTGCAATTATTTCCTTAAATGTGGAACAATGTTTTGATTTTGATTTTTTTTTCAAAACTTTTAATCTGAGAGTGATCGTATAAGAAGGGTAAGCCACTGACTTTACAGTCAGCTTTGCTCATGCTCCCAGAACGCGTATGGTTCATTCTTTTCCTTCCTGGTTTTGCTCTGTTTTCCTATTCTGCCTCTTACTCCTGCTCCTCTATGGGTATATTCATGCTGACTTTTGCAGGCAGATGAGAATGTCCATCTTTTCTACAAAGCAGCTTAAAATAAGCACTAGGAGGCTATAGCTAATGAGCAGTAACTTTTGTTACACTGCTTTGGCTTGAAGTTGGTTTGGAGCACTGGCAAGAATTTCTAATGTCCCCATAATCATCTGCAGGCAGATCTGGTAGTCAGCCATGTACTTTGCGGTGCTGCGTGGGTGTTCAGTTTATTTTTCTTCCTTTGTTGTTGTTCCTCAGAGATCCCCTGCAAACCTCTGAGGTAACCAGCACAGTTTGGCTGGTGGGGTGCTGAAAAACTGCAGAGCTAGAGGCTGCCTGGCTAAAAACAGGGGAAAGGAGGTATCTTCCCAGCTTCTGCTGAATGACAGGACTGCTGAATATCCTGAATGATACACAAGGGAAACTACTGCCTCCTTAGCCTTCCAGGTGAATCTGAATCTGCTGTGTGCTTGCATCTTCAATACTCTTTTTCATATTGTCAGTGCGGGTACAGGATTCACCAGTGCTCTGTTTTCCCTGCTCTTAGTGCCTATCCTCTCTTCAAAGAAGATGGGAAAAATACTGGTAACCTCAAAGATGTGTTAGGTACTTTTGAACACAAAAGAAGAGTGACACAAACACTTTGAAAGGGACAAAAACAATATAAGTGAAGGGGAAAGGAATAATTTATGTATAAATAAGTTCATATTTTTACTTGAATTTGTAACCACTCCCAGATTGACGACATTAAATTCTCTTCTGCCTTTACTATTTCCAAGCCATTACAGCATTAGCTTCCCCCTACTTTCCTCAAAATCAATTCCCAGCCTTAATTCTACTGTCTTTATATTCCTTCTTCCTAACATTTGCCTTTCTTTCCTCAATGTGAATGAGCTATTCATTCAAGATAAATACATAAAACAGAAGATCAGCTGTTTAGCTTCTCCCTGTGGTGAAATATTAATCTGGGGCTACTGAACTTGTTCTATTTTTATGTGGAAAATAAGTTAGCATACTCAAGAACCAGAATCAATGGTGGTAATATCACGTAATGAAAATTACAGCTTTTTTTTTCCAATGCTTGCAAGGCTGTTGTACCCTTTTTCTGATGCTCTATATGCAGCCTGATTATTGCAAATGCTACTTACTCCCCAGTGTGTTTCTGCAGCATCAGTAATTAGTGCACAATACAATTTGTAGGAGCCATGAAGAAATGCACTCAGGTATATTGATTAACACTGCTACTTAGTTTAATAGCAAAGCAAGAAACTACCATGCACCAAGGCCTAAATTACTTGGGCTGGGGGGAGTGTGCACTGTAGGTCATGGGCTGTTTGGGGACTAAAATGATTCAAAAGTAATGATAAAAATTCACTACACACGTTGACCTGACAGAATTCAAAAAGTCTTCCTTAAAGCCTTCTACTTCAGGTGCACACAAGTGAGGATACAGACAGATTTAATATGTTGGAAAAAAAAAAAGCATTGTAGCTCTATTAAGCAAAAACTCTAACCTTAATGTCATTGGACAGAGTACTTCCAATTCTGAATGGAGGAGGCTGCCATCTTCTCTATCTTACAAAAGCTGGTAGATGGGAAACAGATCCTCAGTGTTTGCAGGAATGGCACTTACAGGCTTGCTGTGGTGCAAGCACCTATGTGCTTGAGAGAATTGAATGTAGATGGAGAAATATCCTGCCAATGCTAGTTACTTAGAAAAGCATTATTAGCAGCAATAAGCAATAAATACCATCACAGGTCTGTTCGCATGCTAAATTCAGGGGTGTTTTAGATAGCTTCACTTATGACTGAAGGAAGGCATAAAAATTCCAAATCTTAACCTAGGCTAAGGATTTAGGCAGGACTTCACCTGCAAATGCCCTAAGCAGATAGGTTTCTTCAATCTATTTTAAAAGAGGGGGTGGGGGATGAGAGGGAGAAACCCTCTTCCCTCTCCCCCAATCTTTTTATGCTCTTAACTCTAAAAGTAGCAAATCTGAAAACTAGGAAATGTGAAAAGGGGAAAACCTATGCAGTTGATTCACCTGGAGCTGATTCACCCCTCGTTGAAGGGGTAGAATCACTTGTTTTGATTTGTCCACCTGTAGCTTTGGTAACTAATGTCATCTAATCTTTTTAGTGTTCTGGGGTAGGAAACCTTTCCCCCAACTCCTACCATATAGTGTAGGCCTAAGGAGAGTATAGAAATACAGTGCTAGACTAGGAACAAAGTTTCGTGGTAATAGACACAGGTGCAACAGAGTGTGGGGCTTGAATTTCTTCACAGAATGCAACCTACCTTACCTGAAACACTTCAAATATATATCGTTTATAGAAAATGTTGGTGCCCTACAGAAGAAGGGGAAGAAAAGCTGTATGGCAAGTGCAGTGATGCACTTTCCCTTCAACGTGTAAGAGTGTAATTTGCGGCACTCTATAGACACAACTCAGTGTATCTGAAATAGGAGAAATGGACAAGATGGTGCATTTGCTTGACAGTTCTTTATAATATGAATGAAATGGGAAGCACGTCTAGACCAAGTGTATGCATCCCTAGAAAAGGCTTTGAAAGTACTGAAATTCAGACCAGCTTAGTTTTCAGATAGCACTAACTGGAGAAGGTTCAGAATTTTCCCTGTATATGTTGCCACTCCCAAGTTGGGTTAGGTTCTTAGAGTATATGTAGTGAATGTTTTAATGCCTGTTCTTTTAGAGATCACCCTTGCTATACCCTTGTAAGGAGGAGCAAGAGGTTGAATTCACCTCGTTAAGTGTAACAGGGCTTTGAAGGAGTCTTTGCTCAAAAATCTGCAGGGTAGAAGCTAATGAACACAGCATACACTTGCTCAAAGAATCAAGGTGGCTATGAATAATTTCTGCATTAGCTATGGAATGGTCTGATTTGAGGAATGCATTTCAATCCAAGTACTAGAAGCTGTGCTTCTGACAAATGTTTTAACAAGTTATAGTCCCCATACGTTTATTACTATTCAGAAACAGATTTTGATAAACTGTTCACTGATTGTTTCTTTAGTACAAAAATGAGTGATTATAGTTTAGAGGAGCAATGAGAGCAGATCTGAGTGGATTTGTGCTGAGGTAGATGAGGAGAACTTGCTGAGGTAGATGAGGAGAACTTAGATGACTAATAGCTCTGAGCTACGGATCCAACACATTTTCCTCTAGCGAATAACAAACAGCTTTGTGTAGGAACTTATTAAACCTGCTCCAGCCAATCAACAAGAAGTTCTCTCTCTGTACTCTCCGGACAAGGAGGTGTGTGCAGTTGTCTCTGCCATTCCTTCATCAAGAAAGGAAGAATCTCATCAATTTTAACAGTTATTAGAGACAGTTTGAGGTTTTTTTGCTTAGAGTATGGGCTTTTCTGTCTTATGTGCAGCATGATACATTGATTTTGATGAATGTGTATTTTCCAGGTATTTGTAGCCAGGTACAAGTGCATGGATAATTTCTTGTATTACTTTGTAGAAGGAAGTAATAAATTGGATCAAAGAATGTGCAGAATGTAATTTATCCCAAGTGTTTGAAAATGCTAACTTTACTAAAGTGGTAAAAACTCCAGTGTTAATGTTCTCTACTAATCTGAATGAAAGAATGAAGAATGTATGAGCTTTTTTCCCTCTGCAGGTTTTTTAGACTTCTTCCATCTTGTTTTCTAATGTATTTCTGTAGCTAAAACTTATTTGTTATTACTTTATGAAAGAGTGTTCATGGTATTTAATGTATCTTTCATTTTAATACCTCAGTATCAGAAATATGTCCTAAAAATGCCTGGTAGCCAAGCTTAGGAGAAGGCCTATCACACTCAACGTTTTAACCAGATAATTTTTCCCTTTCACACGATTTATGCTTTGCATTTTCCAAGTTGTTTAACTATATGAGCCTGTAGCTTACACTGTTCAGGCGTGAGAGATAGGACCTTAAAGTTGTTGTCACTATTTAGAGCTTACTTCAAGTTTACTTTGGCAACAAAAGGAGTATAAAAAGACCTCAATGTAAATGAGAGTGTTTTACAACCTGTCACCTGATGACAACAGAAATTCATTGTGTTACACAAGAGTAGAGATAATTTTTACAAAAGATTTGTAGATGTTCTGTAAGGGTCAGTGTTTTATTAACCAGTCAGTGATGGAGAAGAGGGAATAGGAAATGGTGATAAATTTTTTCAGTTTTGCATAAGAAAAATCCAATATATAGGTAGTAACTCCTAAGTGAGCTCTTTAGCTTACACAGCTGTCACTCCTCAGTGGGATGAGGAAGCTGTGAATCTGAAACAAAAGTTCTCTCTCCCTTCTGCTACAAATAAGAGTATAGGAGGCTATTTTAAGAATGAAAAATTTGAAGTTTGTACTTTCTACAATTGAAAAACAAATATGTCTCTATTTCCAATTAGAAATACATATTCTGGAACAGAAAAGAGAAGACTTTTGTGCTGAATTTCAGTTTCAACAATATTATTCAAAAAAACCAGAATTTTTCATCCAGGCAGAAGCTGAAACCCTGAAACTTTCAGATTTGCCAGTAACCAGCCTAAGTGGAGGATCCCCAAATGCATGTGGTGATTATAATTCCAGTCCAGAGGAATCAAGGTAAATACAAAATCCCTATATATTTTTTTTTTCTTGTTTCACAATATGGAAGATATACCTATGGATTTCTGGATAAAAATGTGGAAGTTAGGTTCCCAGCTGAGGATGAATAGGTCAACTTTCTCCTTAGACTAGGAAATCCTCATTTGTGTAAACATGGTGTGCTAGTAGGTAATTTATGGAACACTGTCGTGACTGTACGTGACTTTCTTTCCTTATGGAATGCAGAATTTCACCAATGCCTTCTTGAGCACTGATAGAAAATATGATGATGGTAATGGCCATGGTAAGCATATCTGACACACTGCAGGTATTTCAATGAGTTGTGATCTCTCCAGATAATTTTTTTAAAATGCATATTAAACAGCATTAGAGAAGAAGATCCAAAAGTCCAGTGGTACCTGTGGCTTTACACCACAAGTACAGTGTACTAGAAGTATACTGAATGAGTAGCTGGTGCAAACTAGGAAGCAGGAGGAGAAAATGGTGAAATCAAGATGAATTTTGAAGAGTGAGGATTAGGAACTGTAATGTTTCATAGGCAGAGTCTGTGACAGGATTCTAGGGAAGGGCAGGTATGGTAGAAGAGTATAAAATGAAATCTGAAGATTTTATTCTTGATAATTAACAACTGTATGTTGTCATTAATGTCTCTTCTGAGCTATGACCCTCTGTTGCAATCTTAAGAAATGTGTGTGCATGCCAAGGGCTGTTGCTCTGCCACTATTGCTGCTCATACTGGCAGTCAGGCTGGTCTTAAATACTGAGATTAACCTCCTACAGCTGTCAGCATGTTGAACCGTCTCATCTGCACAAATATTGCATGTAGAATCCCAAAATTATAGGCCAAGATCTCATTGTGATAGGTACTATATAAACTCAGAAAAGAAAAGCTGCCCTTCCCAAAATAGTTAATGTATGATCATGATATGAGAAAATATCTTGATGCAGACAGACCCAGAAAACACTGGGTTTCTGGTTAGCATTTTAGGTGATGGTCTTAGTGCACGATCAACATGACTTGTCAAGCTTTCTCTTAGACATCAGTAAGAAAAAAAGTTAAGGAAGAACTAAAGGTGGTGATGAGGTAGGTTCAAGGTTGTTTACAGGAATCACCTCTGACCATGAGAAAGCACAGAGAGTTTGAAATTTGTAATTACTGGACAGTAGTCTCCAGAGACATCTCTCACTTACTGTCTGCAATGGTGCTGAATGAAATATGCCAGGCAGAGCAAAAATGAAATAGGCTTTTAAGGATCTTCCAAATAAAGACAAGCAGCTTAAGCACCCTTCCACCACCGCATGGTAGTTTAATACAGTAAGCAAGTACTTTTTTGGTGTGACTCTCCCTCCAGTCCTCACTTAACATGCCTTAGGTTACACCATAGTTGGCCCATAGTGCAGATCTGGAGCTCTTTCTTAAAGAGCCTGTGTGTGCCATAGAGAAAAGGGATCTGATGGGAGAAAGGAGGAGCTAAATAATTAGGCAATGACTCTGGATCAGCAGATAGCTTTTCTTTTTTCCCCTTATTTTTCTTGTTTTCTCTCCTGAAAATGTGAATTATACATGCAGGTAGCATAAAGAAAGTAATGCATTTAGTTGAAATAGAAGTTCAGAAGGTATAATTTTTCTGTGGCTACTTCTTAAGACTGATACTTGCCTCTAATCTGTGAATCTACTTACTTTGCTTTTATCTTAGAAGTGAGATTGTATAATTTTTTTATTAAGATAGAATTTGTGTGGCTATGATTATATGGTTACTGATGAAGCTTGCATTTGCATTTTAATGTCATTTTCTTAGATTAGTAAATTCATTTTTTAGTCAGGAAGGGATCTCACACTTGTTGCCAGCACAACAGTCAGTGTATCCATTAATAGCAAGATCTTTGTAACAAAGTTTCAATAGCTAAATCCATCCTTCTTCCTTGCAAAAGGAAGAATTTGCCAGACAGAGCAAAGATGAAATAGGCTTTGAAGGCTCTGGAATCCCTTGCAAGGGATTTTCCCTTGTCTATAGCTAAACAAATAATCTTAAACCTCTGTGGATGGTATACAGTAAGGACTTTTCGAGGTCAAAAATATTAGAGTTTTCTACAATTCTCATTTCATGTTGAGTTGTCCATTTTCCTGAAGAATTTGATTTTTTTTTTTCCAAACAATTTTTTCTTTCTTCCGAGCAAAGGCACTTGAGCATCTCTTTGATCCCTAACTGTTTCATTACATTGTGGTTCTAGGGTAAACCCAGGTTTTTAATATTTGTTTCCTTTAAACAGTCTCTGTTTCTAGGCTTCATAGCCAAATTTATTTTATATTAATCTGTTTTATACCTTAACATTGTAGTACATATGTTAACTATTTCAGATTTACAGATTATTTCAGAATTATAGATTTTAAACATATTTTGTAAATTAATTGTGTTTTTCATTTAGGAAGAAAATAAACTTTTTCCTTTCTCTTCTTTCTTTTCTTTTCTTTTTTTTTTTCTTTTTTTCTCATCCTAAAAACAGCTCTGTAGAAAGAAAGGGTGACAGGATACTCCCTGACTTTCTGTCTTCATGGAAAGATGCTGCAGACTTAGGTGGAAAGACAGAAACTGCATTCCTTTTAAAAGAATTGGACACTCTAAGGGCCAAAAATGCAAAGGTACAATTGAGATATTCAGGTCACAATATTTGCTTTTTTATGGTTGTCTTACAAAACTTACATTTTAAAGTATTCCTAATTCAGTTTTGTTATTTATTTTAGTGCACTAATCAATAGCTTTCTTGGCATTTTGGATTCGTAGTATTTGTTTAACAACTACTTCTGTGGAAGTAAAAACTCTTTCATCCTACCCTTTGACCTTTTTAATCAGTGACATCAATTCCTGCATCACAGATGAAAAACAAGTGAATCACTGGCAAATCACTTTAAAACCATTCTTTTAGAGGGTACTGATTTTTCCATAATACCTCTGAAGAAAGCAGAAATGGTTTACAAATGGTGAACTTACTGAAATTAATGGAACGGTTTTCATTGGCTTGAAAAAGCTTTTGGATCAAAATCTACAGTAAAATAGTTGCATAGCACAATAAATATATTTACAAGAAAATAATAATTTGTAATGACTGGAATCCTATTCATGTTACAAAGCTATCCAAATCGGTAATTCACATAAGCCGAAACACAAAAACAATGATAGTTCATCACAAAATTGTACGTTGTTCATATATTTTGACAAAAGAGCCATTTTACTTTAATTTAATATAGTGTTTTCAGAGCATAATCAGAAAGACGCAACCCATTAGTGCTTAGAGGTGAATGAAATCTCAGGACATGGTATTAAATGCTTGTTAAGAGAGGAAAGCCTACTATTTTATTACTTGCTTGTTGCTTGTAAGAAATAGCAAACTCCTCTGAGGCCTGGTCCTGAAAACATAATGAACTGTGATGGCAAACAGTGAGACAACTCAGTATATAAAGTTATGGTTATATGGTTTAGTATAAGAAGTTGCAGTGTATAGGCGTTCACAAATTTGATGTCTTAACCCTATTTTATTTCCCTTTTTTGGTCAGACTTGTTGTTACAGTTCAGGTGGCTAATTTCTATCTTGCAGTTCCTTCCTTATCATAGTGATCCATATTTTGTCACCTGTGTCCCAGAAATCCTCTATTCATTTAAACTACAACGCGTTTTTTAATGCCAGGCTTTAATATCTGTTTTCCATCTCCTTTGCACTTTATTTCACATTTAGTTTAGCATCATACTAGAAATAAAAGTATATCTATTTTTGCCTATTTCTGCTGTGTTAGGATGTCTTAGTCCATCCTGTATTCAGTTGAAAGTAGCATATCTTCTCAATAACTGCTTTGATTTAACTCTGTCAGCCTTCTGATTTTTACAGAGTAATCTCTCTGAGATTTTTACGCTCTGAAATTTGAGTTTCTGATGCTGAGGTCGTACTTGGTTCTGAAGTCAGCTTTTTACCAGAAGCACACTCAGTTTGTATTTTATGAGTGCCATTTGAATATGTTTAGCTTCTGCTACGCTCTTGTCTCTCTAGTCCTTTTCATATAATGAAGACAAGGCTTCAGCTTTTCTAGTATAATGATTTCTAATAAAATGGTATGATTTAAATGATGAAACTTTGAGTAGTTTGAAACTTGCTTTCAAGAGTGTACTTTATCTGTTTCATTAAACATTCCATCTGAGATGGCCAAGCAGTTCATGACAACTTTTTCAGCTGTTGAAGTAAAAACCAAAACAAAGGCCAGTATTGCATGAATGGAATCTGGAGCTCATGCTTCTATACATGTGATCCATATAATAATATGCCCTCCTTGTTGAGGGGAGGAAAATTCTGTCCTACTTGAACACCGCGATGATTCTAGCATCAGTAACAGTTGCATGTGCCTAATCAAAGGAAAATTCTAATCTTTCCATGAAGTTTCATTGAATATTCGATGAAAAACACAGATATCCATGCAAGAACAGATTCAGTGAATTCCCAAGTAAGATAACGGCATCAACAGGTGAAATAACATCGTCCTTCTCTTTGACAAGGCACAGGGAAAATGATTCATTTACACCCCAGTCTCTTCAGATTGTGATGTCAGTATTCTTAGTAAGAAATAGGCAGTTCATGCAGACACCACTTAAGGAACAGGGTGAATCGTTTCTTCCATATAATTCTGAACTTCCTTAATAAGAATGACCAGAGGTAGTGATATCTGAAGATAATCCCAAATAAAAATGCTGACACAAATTTCTGCTTGTCTCACAGAACCATATAAAGCAATTGATTTAAAAAAATATGTATTTCGCGTTTCTCCTTTAAATATATAAATATAATTAACTGAACTGCTGTTGTATTCTTACTGTTTGTATTTTGGGGGGAGGAGAGCTGTTACTTAATATTTTGTTGTGATTTAAAGAAGTAGTTGACTGTTTCTGTCTGATAAGAATCTTATTGTCCATTTGTTCAATTCAGCTTCAAGATAAGCTGTCTGAAAAGGACAAGGAGATGAAGACAATAAAACTGGACTTAGAACTGCAAGAGAGAGCTACAGAAGCTAAGATTGCAGAAAAGATTGCAGGTACAGTAGGCAAGCATTTAACAGATGGCTGTATGGCTCATACGGTACCCACGGTTGCTATATGACGTGGCCTAGTGAATGTTAGCGATATTTGCTAAAGGAGGGAAGGTTTGACTTTTTTTTTTTTTTTTTTTAAAATGTGTGGCTGTTTAGAGTTGCTTAGAAAATAGGTGGCTTTAACATCCTGGTACTGGTATTAGCAAGAGCTTTACCTGTATTCAAACTGATTTGGGCATTAAATGCATTGTTAACACCATGTCAATCCAATCACAAAAAGGTTGTTTGTTTTGTTGGAAGGTCCTGAACAAACAAGGGGAAATAATGATTACCAGTGCCTCTACCTTTCAACCAGCAGTTCAAATACCACTTATTGTTTTAGCTCTTTCAGAGCAATACTACCCCCTCCCTGTGTATGGAGATAGTCACACATTCGCCTCAACTGGAGACCTGCACTTTTCTTGAAAAATCTCGTCTTCTGATGGTTAATGAATTTTCATCTGTTGATAATATGTCTCTAGAGAATTATACAGATTCCCAAAATGAAAGGCATTAAGTTTATAGTTGAAAATGAATACATGCTTTTATTTGTCGTTAAATGTTCTTTGGGTAGAAATATAAGAACGGAAAGAGTTTGTATTCTGCAGTTTCAGAAGTCTCTTTCTAAACCAATATTTTTATTATTAGGAAGTGATTGTGTATACAGTGTATCTAGTGGATGAAAAATATTCTCAGGTTTTCCTCGAAGTGTTTCAAAAAAGTTAACCGGAACGCTTTTATAAATTCATGGTATGGTTTGTTCATAACTAAATAAAGTATGAGCTAGGTAAAATTATGTCCTCTTAGACCGCACGCTTCATGTAACAGGACTCGTATAGGACATAGGACCAATACCTATCCCCAAAATATTGGTACTGAAAGGAGGAGTAACTATCATTAGAAAAGCAGAGCAGAAAATAAGCTCTCTAGCTGAAGAAACAGATGGTTGGCTTTCTGCTTAGCACTATATTCTCAGGAGTTTAATATTCTCTGTGTGTTATGGATGGAGGAGAGGGTTCCTGGATTTTGTGTGTTGGAAAAAGGGAAAGGAGAAACTAAATACTATGAAATAAATGTAGGTGAAATATAGGCATAATTTTTTCTTATTTTCTTTTACATACATAAGCTATTTTCTGCATGTTTAGAAAAAAAGATCTGCATTGCATATCGTAGTTACATCTTGATTATCCAGCAGCTGAACTTCTATGCAAATTGTTTGGGTTGCATTCCAAGATGTGTGTTTGTTCTTGGATGTTTGCACAGTGTTTTACTTCTATGTGTATATTACAGGAATGTTGTATTCGGTTAAGGTGTTCATTGCTTGTTAAAACCTGGAAAGAAATACGAAATGTGTGTCAAAATACTCTCTGGTTTCTTTTTTACGGATAGGACTGAAGTACAAGTTAATAAATTGTTTTCTCCCATGTTATCATTTAAACTTCCTAGTTAGGTCCTAAGCATAATAATCTCTCCAAAATAATATGGCTTGAATATGGATATGGATAGTTAACACAGTTATTCCATTAAAAAAAAAAAAAAAGAGTAAGCCAAATTTTAATCAGAGTTTGAAAGCCTAGTAAGGGTGACCTTTCAAATAAACAATGCCTTTTTTTCCCAACATTTACTAGTTCAGGATGTACAAAATCCTTTAAAAGCTGGGAGAAGGGGTAACAGGCTCCTTACTCTTTAAGTTGTTCACAAAAAGGAAGTATCGTTAATATCTCATGATTTTTTTGCTTCCTGTTTTACAGTTCTAAGGATCTTAAAAAGTTTGAATAAACGTTCTGAAATCTGGAATGATGTGTACCACACTGAATTTGTGGAGATCTGTGCATCTCTGTCATAAAAGCCTTGGGGACAGTTCTGATGGACAACCAGGAGGATGCAGTGTATTTAAGGAAAATCTCTCCCCCTTGTATTAAGTCTTTTGAGGAAAGGAGAACACATGCTGCTATGATTTCATGATGCTAGTTAATGTTTAATTACTGCGGTGTATAACACATGGTAGAGTGAAGCTTGTAAATATGGGTGTTTGCATTTTTATTATTACTTAGTACTGACTTCATGATAAGAAAATGACTGCACAAAATTATATTGTAAAAAACATCAGAAAGGTACACCATAAAAATGTTATCTACTTGGAGGGATATTACAATTCTATTTTAAAATGTAACCCTCTAACTGCTAGGTTTTACATAAGCAAGCCCTGGGGCAAAAGAGGAGAGGCCATTTTAAAATTGAAACTGCCACAGTCTTCGACAGCAAATAACCAGAGCTTTTCTTTTTATTATTTTTACTTTGTTCAGGGAAAGAAATGAAGAGGAAAAGTACAAGTTTCAGAAATGAATCATGAGAGAATAAAAACAAGTAAAGATAAAGGCAAAAGAAAGACATGATGGAAGAAGGTGTTTAGTAATATGTGTATTAAAAAACTTATTTTCAGATAGTCTTTATATTTCCTTTATACTAACCTGAAAAAATGAGTTTTAGCACTGCTTTCGGTTCCTGTCTCCGTATCAGGTAATTAGAGCTAGGAAAAAGAACAAATGTGCAGTTCTAGTTGCAGGCTCTTAGCCATTAGAGGTTATTGTTAATGATCACAGTTGCCACATGCTACATATCCTGCTGTTTCTTCATGTTCTTCTATTAAATTTTCTCTTATATAAGCCAATGTCAGAGGGCACCGTTAGTTTCACTTCCCATTGTGAAGAGAGGAAGAAGAGTGGAGGAGACAACACTGAGGAAATCAAGGGAAGAGCACATCATAAAAGAACTGAGGCTAGGGTAACGTAGAGAAAAAAGGGAACCCCTCATGTGAACACAGTGTGAAGAATGGAAAAATAAATCTTGAAATGTTGGACTGCAAAGGAGAAATTTCAGATGCTGAACAGAGAAGGGAGTCTCTCCCTCTCCTCCTGTGTGTGAGAGGAAAAGGAGAAGGAACACACATGCTCTGAAGACAAACTGGAAAGTAAGGGTGTAAGCATTGCAAAGGAGTCAGTCTTCAAAAGGGCCAGCGAAGAGAACAGATTTCGGTTTGGGCAGACATAATAAATAACTTGATTTTTACCTAAAAGAAGAATTATACAGGGGTATATAGAAGTTTTCAGAGGAAAACAGCTGGTTGTGTATAGGTGACAGTTGCAGAGCGTATTCATGTAGTCTTGGGAAAAATACCAGGGCCCTGAACTTATGGCAGTGACTACTGGCATTACAGTAACAAATACACCATACATGACAGCAGAGCCTCAGCTGTTAGTATATCTGAGTTGCTATCACACTGCAGTATATTGGGACAAAGAATGATTTTCCTTCAAAATTTTTAGTCAGAATTAATTTAGCAGGAAGTAGATTGGTTCCAGGTCTGCTAGGTCAGTTAGGTGTTGCACTTGGCTGAGAAGTGAGTTAGCATACTACAGATACTCCCTGAAAGACCAGGGTAATGACAGGAAGTGTGGGATGGAAAAAAGGGAAAGTAGTGTTTCTAATACTTTTGTACCCATTGTACAGCTTTTGGTCTCTCAGCAGTAAAACTACAATGAAGTACTTTTTTCCAGTCTGGTCCTGCAAGAACATGGGATATTAACATTTTTGACATTTTTGAATTCTCAAATGTGGTATGGAGCTGTTCATGAACGTTATTTAAAGTTTCCTGAATTAACTTGAAAAATAAATACTGACTGCATATGCAATAGTTTGAGTAGCAAAAATGAAAACAAATATACAAGTGGCTGTTAGCTCGGAGTTAAAGTTTGATTTAACATCCCATAAAGCAAGAGGAAGTAAGTAATCTTACCAGTAATTAACTGTGGGTGGCAATAACTTCCAGTGCAAAGGAAAAGTTATTTCCATTTTTTTTAAAAGCTCACTTTAGAGTCCCTTTTTAGATGTTATTTTTCTTTCTTGCATGTCATCCATTAAAGATTAGCTGTGGAAGGTTGGAGCATGGAGAGATTATGAATGGCAGAACAACTCCTGTGGAATAATAATCATTTTTGGTATTTAATGCTGTTTGACTTTTGCAGACACATTTCTTATTAACCTTTGGTACAAACAGAAATCCAGGTTCCTGGTATCTCATGGAGAAGATGAATTCAAGATCCTCTTCCAATTAAACTGAAATAAGGCCAATATTGGGCTTTAGCCAGAAGAACTCAATAGTTTCCAACTCTTGTGTTTATAAACGTAAATATGAATGATAATTTACAGTTTAAATAGCTAATGCATATACTTTCACTAACTTAGTTTTCTGTGTATAATTCATTTGTATGTCTACATAATTCTTAGGGTTTTTGTCCTACATAATGTTTCATTATAAAAATCTACTGTCTAAAAATTTTTACAAAATATGTCCTGATAAATGGCAAAATTTGTAAAATAACTATAGGATTTGAATCCTCTGTATGGGAAGGTAGATGATCCATCTAAAGGACAGGAAAAATAATACAGTTTTGGAGATGGGGGCGAGTAAGAATCTTTTGGCTTAATTTTTGATGGCTTAATTTGAAGCACTTCAGATTGTCAGAATGGTGGATTGTCAAAAAGCAAAACGCAACTCTTTGTAGTATAATATATGCTGTGCCTGGAATAGGTTCAAAATGTAAATCATTGATCTGTTTATGGGGTGAATTCTGTAGGTAAAAAGCAAGTCAGCATCTTCTGCATATTGTATGACAAGTTTGGCCCTTTTTTCCCCTCTTTGTGGTGCTAGATAAAAATAAGGTTTTGGTTTTTGTGTGTGTTTGTAGTTGGGTGGGGGAAATTCGGGAAAATGAAGGTTCAGAAATAGTCACCTGCATGGGGAATTACAAAAACTTCATTTGCCTGTGAAATTAAACCTTGCAAACTTCAATCCAACATTAATATCGCTTGCAGAGCTCTTCCCCCAAAGTAACTATTCAGGCATCAGCAGTTTATTCACTGGGAAAAGTTAAACAGCATTTTTGTTTGAATTTTGAAGTCAT